AAAAAAAAAAATCCAAGGCTCGAGTTACCCTATTGAAAGATTCCCCGGGCAAAATATTGAACAGCGCAGGAAGCACGGAGAGGAGATGGAGAGAATACACAGAGTCATCGGTACCCCAAAAAAGAACTAGTCCACATTGCATGTCAATGGTACCGAAGGAAGAAGTTCAAGCAGAAGCAATCCTGCCGCTTCAAAATATACCCTGGGAGCCAAGCCTCATCTCTCCACTGTCACCACCCACTGGGCTCTTTTGTGATTGGCGCCAGCAGCTTCTGTCCCCAGTCCCTTCGGTCGGTTCCCCCATGTGGCCACCAGGGGGTGGCCATGCAAACAGACTGCTCAAGTCACTCTCCTGCCTCCCTCAAGAATAAAATCTTGTCTTCCTTGTGCTGAACCCCAGTTTTGAGCTCCTGGTCCATCTTCTCCCCTTTGCAAACTTGGTTCCAACTACTCTGGTTTCCTTGATGTCCCTCAAGATTTCAGACATACACACACCTGCCTCGGGACCTCTGAATGGGCTTTGGCCTATGGAAGGAACACCTCATCGCAAATCTACAAACTCTGTCGCCTCCATCTTCCAGTTTTACCACAGACCTTGCCCCCAGCACTCCCTGCCCCTCCTGCCCTTCTACTTCCCTCACCCCTTCTCTTCCATAGCCCTTTGCCCTGCTAACAGGCTATAGGCAGACCTTCTTTGACTGCATTTAGCTTTATTGCACTAGGCAGACACTGTGTTTTTCTTTCAAACAGAGAGAAGGCTTGTGACAAGCCTCTGTTGATGACGCCTCTTGGTGCCATTGCGTGCTCGCCATTGTTCTTAGGTTCGAGCCCATCGTTGTAGCCATTGTGTCAGCTCACCTCATCCAGGGCCTTCTTTTTCACGATTTTACGAGACAAACGGGCCTTTTCTAGGGACTGGTCTCTCCTGGTCTCTCCTGACCCTGTGTCCAAAATATGTGAGGCAGAGTCTTCCCATCTTCGCTGGCAAGGTGTGTTCTGTTTGTACGTCTTTTAAGGCAGGTCTCTTTGGGGTTTTGTGTTTTGGGGAGTCCACAGCACTTCCAATATTCTCCACCGACACCATCATTCAAGTGCATGAACTCTTCTTTCGTCTGCCTTATTCAATGTCGAACTTTCACACGCGTGCGAGGAAATGGACAAACACCACAGTTTCGGTCAAATAGCCTGGCCTCATCCTCAAAGGGATGCCCTTGTGTGTCAACACTTCAGAGAGGTCTCATGCAGCAGATTCACCCAATGCAATGCATTCTTTTATCTCTTGATGGTGCCTCCCATGAGCATTGATGATGGCTCCAAGTCAGACCACATCTACTTTACTGTGGGGACTGTGAGGTCAGCCTAGCTATTGTTTTCTTGGTTCGTAACATTCTCCTCTGTTTTCGGTCTTCTTCTCCTAAAAAAGGTCAGTTCCACACCAGCAGGGCAGGTCTGTGGTCTGTGTGGGCCGCTGGAGCATCCCCAAGCCTTTCAGACCACGCTGGGCATTTGGTTGAAATAAAAGAAACTCCATGACCTTGGAGCTGAATCAGACTGAGTGTACGGCAACGGAGCCCTGGTGTCATAGGGGTTACATGCTGGGCTATGATCCATAATGTCAGCAGTTCAAAACCACTAGCTGCTCCTTGGGAGAAAGATGGGGCTGTCCACTCCCGGAAAGAAGATCCAGTCTTGTAAACCTGCTGGGGCTGTTCTACCCTGCCCTGGAAAGTCCCTATGAGCCGGCATTGACTCGAGGGCAATGAGTTTGATTGTGCATGTGTGTGTGTCAGAAGCGTGCTCCGTAGGGATTGTGGCAGCTGGATTTTCAGAAGTATATCACAAGGCCCAGTGCCCATCTGTCTGTGTGTGGGACTGTGGCCGCTTGGGTGCTATTACTGTGATGCGGAGCATTGTCCCACCGATATCTCAAATACCAGGAGGAGACAGGTTTCATTGGCTAGGGCAGACTAGGAAGAAAGGCCTGATGATCCACTTCTGAAAATTAAGAAGGAAAATGCCAGGGGCCTAGACAGAACATCGTTCAATGCAGCACTGGAAGGTGGATGATGTGGCAATTACATCATCTCCTGTCAATTTGAGTGAAGGGGTGGAGTCTAGCCTGCCCATTAGATCATAGCCAACGAGGCCTCTGTGTGGGCATGGCCTTCTCCTGAGGATTCTGGGAACTCCTGCCTTCCCCCCTGGAGGCGGGACACACACTCGCTCTGTCTTCCCTTTCCTGCTGTGGAGACACTCAGAGAGCTGGAGAAGCCACGTGGAGACCTGTGCCAATGCTGAGATGCTTCCACCACCACTGGATCCACAAGACCTTCTACCCACTGGCCTGTGACCTTCCCACATTTCGGCATCATGGCATGCGCTGTGTGAGTCTAAAGAGGAATTTATGGACTAGTATCGGACCGATGGGCTAATAGTGGACTTATGGATT